GAGAGTACCCACCTGGAAGTACAGATTATCTTTAAGTTCTCCTCAACTCTGTGAAATACAAGAATCAGAGATCAGGATGAGAACGAGCAAAGCCCAGAATATGTTGGCCAGTTATCCACTGCCCTGCCTTGCAAGAGCTTTCCGGATACACCTGGAATTCCCGCTTCCCGGGGATGCAGCCATCTGATTTTCGTGCCGTAAGAAGATATTCCTCAAATTAAAAACCAGCTCCCCTCCCCGTTAAATGACTCTTAAATATCAAAATGGAGGAAACCTATTAGAAATGTTTGTTTTGAAACATGCAAATTGTGTGAAGTTGCTCCACCGCAAAGGCAGGCGAGAGGATACAAAGATACTGAAAATGGTAGTTCACGAAAAATATATCTGATCCTGTAATCTACGTGTTGACAAGCTGTTGGGCTCCATCACTCCACCAAGCAGTAGATACTTGTCTTAGATTCTTCTACTTGACTGCTTTCATCAGATTAAGCATCTGGGATTTAATTTAACAGTTTCAGCTTTATTAAGCTGTCACAAGAGCGGCCCCGCTTTGATAACAGTAGCTGCTCCAATTATGGCTTGGTTTAGGGTTGACAAGTATAATGATTCATTCGTGGCACATGAGAAGCAATAAAAGGTTGTTTTGCATTACAGCTTTAAAAATGTGGGCACTTTTTTCATTTAATTTGTCACTTAGCTTTTGCTAAGAGGACATTTAAATTGCAGTAAAAGGCAAATGGGGCTTTTAGTTTAAATGTAATCCCCATATTTAAATGATCTGTAATGGCGCAGCGTTCGAGTGGGAACACTATTGTTTCACAGTGGGCCCTGATGGTGACATGTGACATTTGTATTCAGGTCCTGTATTATCCATGTGGCTAAAGGGCTTCCAATTTCATTTCACAGCCAGAAGCCTGCAGAAAACACCAATTAACTTGCAGATCCCATTTGCCGACAAAACTCGGCCTCTTCTCCATGTCTGGCATCTGGCAGTTCTCAACATTTAATTCCAAAGCAGAGCCTTGCAGCCATCATGATCCCTGTGCAGGGGCACAAAGTCAAATTCTCCCCTTTTATTAAGGACTTTTTCCCCCCACTTTTGTAGACCACAAGCAATTTTTGCTTAATTTTTGATGGGGGAATACTGAAAAATTATTGCTGAACTAAGACTGTATGGACTTCTTTCCTCAAGAGCATAAAGAAGGTTAGCTGACCTTTTCTTGAAATCAGGGATCTCTGATCATCAGCCATCGGCAGATATTTACTGTGCATTTCCATATTCCTCCATCTTATCAATGCAATTTAATTAAATAGGCAGACCAAGGGGCTTCATTTAATTAATCATTTAAGTGCTGAGCCATCTATAGAGTTAACATCTAAAGATCAGCATGTGAAATTTACCTACTGAGATACCACTTAAGCAGCAACAACGTGGAGAATGCCTGCTCAACGACAAACTGCAAAATGAACATTACATATCACATGTTTCTGCTGCAGGTTGGAAGAGATCACCAACGCATCACCAAAGTCACCCCTAAACGCTTCTGGCTTGAGAAATAAATAAGCTAGTCTTATAGCTGCAACCTGCAGTCCTGATCTTGCCAGTAAAACGTAACTGGAATCTAGCAAGTAGCTTTTAGCTCGATCTATTCTTAGAGGTAGAGGAATCAACATAATTATAGTATTTTTGTGATCTAAAACCTTTAACAACAACAACCACCACCACCTTAACTTAGTCACCTAATTTGAGGCCCTTCAGCTGAAAATTGGTTAAGGAATTTGGATTTTGTATTGACTTCCTAAGAAAATGGTGAGGCTCACACTAGTTGGGAAGCTTTTGGGGGAGGGAGGGAGATGGTTTTTTTCTTCTTCTTTTTTAATTTAAGTCAGCACCTTCAAACATTCAATGCTCAATGTGACTTTTCCTGAAGCTAACCTAAGTTACCAGAACTTCAGCAGGAATCCTGTCAGAGCCCAGCGCGCCCCTGCCAACACATGGGAACAGAGAGGAGGTGTCAGTTGAGCTCTAAAGAACGGCTCAAGTGCCCCAATGGAGGAGCCAAGCTGAAAGTATCCAAGCATGCCGAAAATCCGAAGCCAGCCCAAACCTGACAGAGCAGCTGTAGGCCTAACGGTTGGCAGGCAGCACCCCAGAGCGAGCAAACAGGCCTTTGTTAAGGGAATTCCAGACTTACATATTGCTTTGTGTGCTAAAATCCTTCATAGTTGCAATGCAAGATTCCTACCTACCTGCGAAATAAATGAGATTAGAGCTAAGACTCTTTTTTTAAAGGACATAGATAAATGCCAGTCTCAGGTTACTCTGAACAATACAAAGAAGCAAGTATGCCAAGGCCTGTCCCAATCCCTGTGTTGACATTTTAGTCCCGTCCTAGGGGATGACAACAAGGCAGGAACTAGGCGTTTTAAGAACACGCTGATACCATCACCCCCTCAGGCCACGTCTGAGCTGTCTCTGCCACTGCGGGTGCAGGTCTCACGTCTGCAGGGACACTCTGCTCCCACCTCTGCAGTTTGTTACCACAACTCTGGTTTGCCCTAACACCTTGGCCCTCTAACATTCATGTTGACTTAGAGAAGCACGCTCACCTCAGAAAAGATTAGTTTTTACCTCGAGTAAAATACATGATGAAACCACAGCAAAAACATGGCAGCAGCTTGTACTTCTCACACAAGGTGGGAATCAACCCAGAAAGACTCATCCAGTTAACTGCAGTTTTTACAGAACTTGCTAAGCGCCAGTGGGAGGAATCCCACCAATGTGGGAAGGAAGTGGACAGGAAAGCAGTGTAAACAAGACCTACAGCTAGAAGTTATGTTATCCAGCTGTTGTTCTGCCTTTACTCCAGTGCACGCTTGAAGTGGGTTGAAATGTATTTGTAACAGAAATTGTGGTATGGGATCAAAATACTGTGATAGTGTTTCAATAGATAGAGCAGTTCAGGACTGCTCTAGTAGGAATTTAAGATTACAAATACAATGGCTGAGGTAGCAGCGAGGCTGGAAATTTGCACTGCAGCTCTTTGGGGGTGGCAAATACAATTCCGATGAAACAAGGTAAACTACTCAATTCAATTAATGTGAAATATTGGTTATTTGATGCTGCAGGCAGCGAGATTCCAATTCCTCCACCTTCAGGTTGATGCTGTCAAGGAGATGATGTTAATATGAAACTGATGAAACAAGAAGAGGAGCCACTAAGACAATTTATCAAAACCTTTTATGTTTATTGGCAGCATGTGTTAAGACTGCTACAGGTAACAGATGGAGAACACATTTCTGTCTCTCCCACCACCTACCAGCTCAACTCACATAAGCAACGAAGCATGAGACCCTCCAGTTTTCAGAACAATAAGATTTTGCTGTATGCATGTCCATCTAAGCATGAGCCATGGGTGCAAATTCCCCTCTCCCCCTATCCTGCTTCAAGCCAAGGCAAGATCAGAAAAATGACATGCTAAAAGGGTTATTAAATTTCAAATAGAATGTCTAGGCTGACAGTTTTGTCTGCTCTGATTTGAAATCTTCCTCCACTGAAGTCTACAACTTCAGCCATGTAACCAGTGCTTTACTGACCTAACGCTTCCCTATGAGTAAGCATAGCTTATGCTAAACAGACTCCATTCAGTCTTAGGCCCAGCAGACAGCAGGGAATAAACTCAGGGTCATCCTTATCCTCTGCTAGTGGAAAACGCAAGTCCTGCTTTTCACTTCTCTGTTCTCAAAGAAGCTTTTTACTCTAGTTTTTATTTAATTTCATTTAGCTTTATTCTGAACCTTTTAAAATTTATCAGGCTCATTTTGATTTTTGGCTCTTCCGGTGTTTACAACTTACCCATTGGCCACTACTTACACATTTTATATACATTTTTCATTACACATATCATTGACCAGAACACAGTTCAACATAAACTGCTGTAAGACTAGACTTGAAGCATGTTTCCAAACTGAGTAGGAACACGGTTAACTACTCCAAGTTCCACGAACCACAAGACAATTCTGCTTGGGCAGCTCATCTTCAATTTGCTTTGAGAGTCTCCACAACAGCAACCGAAATCTTACTACAATTAACACATCTCACATTAATCTCTTCCCTTATACACTTAATGAATTTTCTTTTAGAGAAACAAATCAGATTTACCATTATATTTTCAATAACTCAGGCTGTCTTTTATCACTGTTATCTTCTACATGCTCACACACCAGCAGGTTAGTAGTTTGTTGCAGTACCAGACACTCTATGAAAGCAATGCTGGTGGTCTATCGATACCTACTGCCACCCACTCACCCATCTCTAAAGATCAATATTTACCTGTCAGCAGTTTTCAGCTTCCTCACACTGCCCCAAATTCTCATAGATTTTTCAGAACTTCTGAAGCACTTGGAAATAGTTCAAACTGTGTCAGCTAGTTTCTGGATACTTCGGAGCAACTACCAGACTCTACCAGTTTAAATAGTCTTTTCCCATTACTGCCTGTGTTCCTCTCAGTCTTCTACAACTTAATTGTGCATCCTATAATAGTCAGCATTTGCTGGAAATCGAGAATTGTTTTAGCCCTCTTATTTGAGCTCATTCCCTGCTCAATAATGGACTTCTCTCCTTTGATACATCTTCTTCTGTGAGGAGTATCTTCTCATACTTTTAACAAATATTCTCTGTATCTTCTATCCCTCTCTAGTGGTGAACAGACTTCTTTAATCTTTCTTGTTTTTTCTTGTCTATGTACTTACCCTCAGTAGTATGGATATGTTCTGCATTTTGTTTTATTAGTTTTAGTCCCCCAAGTGATTTACAACCTGCTGCAACTGAACGTTTTTCTTACCACGCGTCTTCTCCTTCCCCTGCTACCTTCTCGTGCAACGCCCCCAATCTCTTTAATCTAGTAGCACAATAAAGCTTTACCCCCTCCCCCAAACAGTTAATTATTTCTGCACTATACACATGAACCTCTAGATGATTGTGAAGTCTGTGCATTTACCCAGTTCATCCCAGAGCTGCCTATACTTGTCAGTCATTGCAGTTCCTTGTTGCCTCCAAAGCGACAGGCGAGGGTCAGCCATGAACTGTTCTGTTATCAAAGTCAACATGCGAGCTCCGTTGGAATCTCTCATCTTTAGCATCTCTCGCACCTAGAAAAGGAGGCTTTTAATACAAACTTGGAGGAAAAAACAACCCACATAGTATAAATAATCTGCTACAGCATTAAGCATTCTACCCCTCTCCTAAGTAAGTGCAAGTAATATAACTGAAGTGAATGTTTGAAATAGAAGAAGCAGTAGTCGAGTAGTCTGCCTCCCAATTTAACAATGACTTTGGATTTCAGTATGTCGTTGCAACTCTTCAAACATACTGCTCCCCCAAGCAGCCCGTTTGTGATTTGTGTGTTATGCAAGCTGCTGCAAGATTATCAGGCTTCTTTCTCCCATGTTTTGGGGGCGAGGAAGAAGAAAATGGCAAAGCTGAAGATGGTTGAAATGTTGCTTCATCTCCTTAAACTGATCTCAAAACACATCAGACCATGTTCCATTGCTGTAGCACAACTCATTAACTTGCTTTCATGCTCCCAAGACTAACTAAATATGGCTAACAAGTATAAAAGGTTTAGAATACTCAACAAACCTTTGCAAAAAGCAAATTGAGCTGTTTCCCTGATCCATGGTATCCACCTTGGGAGAGGAAGAGTTTAACCTGTTCTTGGACCTGTTCTTCATCTAAATGCCAGCAGTTTTCATCATCTATGCTAGCACCTGCTGTTGGATCTGGAGCACCTGCAAAGAGGAAGAAAAGGAAACAACATTATTTTCTATATAAAGATTAGCAGTTCAGGGGTCCAAGGGAGAGAAGCAATGAAGAGCTTTTTGGATTTGCGGTCAGTCTCATTTTGAATCTCCTGGCTTTGATATAAACAGTCTTTATAATAAATTTCTTTACAGTAGGCTATAAAGAAATGACAAGCTAGGAAATAGCATTTAAACAAACATCTTTTTACAATAATAATATTAAAATTTTAAAAAGTATTTTCTAATATAGCTGCTGAGGGAAGAAAATTTTACAATGCATTTTCCGTTTCTGTAACTGTGACATTAAAGGCACTCTCCCACATGAGTTCCTGTGCCATTGCTGTTCCTTCGGGCACCTTGCTCGGGCTGCATGACAGACCGTGGGCATCACGACCGATGAGCCCGAGGAAACCCACGGCCTCGCAGCCTCCGAGCTCCGGAAGCTCTGCCAAGCTGAGCAAGCAGTTTAAAAACTCCCCAAACAAATCCCATTTAAAGCACTAAAGCACTTTAAAGCACTAAAGGCATCTCCCACCATAAATAAAAATCCCAGCTGTGCAAGAGCGTGGAAGTTTCTTGCACAGGTGATCTTATTTCTAGTGAGTTAATTCTACTGAACTCTTCCTTGATTACTGGTCCAGTACAAACTTAAAGGCTCTCTTCTAAAAGGGGCTAAAAATAACTAAGACAAGTCTTGGCACCATCCAGCAATCTACATATTCCTGAAGTAGCCAGCACTTCCCCTGGGTTTTTTTTTTTAACCAATTGTTTATTTATCTTTTTGTACATTTTTTTGGCAAAATTTACAGATCAAACTGAAGTGGTTGACAAGTTCTTCCCTAGACTGCCAGAGAAACTGAAGTTAATGCACCAGTGTAGCAGGCGGAAGGTATGTTAAGAATGCCACAGACTCAAGTTAACTTGGCATTTGGGGCTTGTCACAATTGCACTTTATGGAACTTTTGTTAAGCCTGAAATTTTTTTGGTGTATAAATTAAATGCAATCAACACAATCTTCCCAGAATCCTGATCAGGACAAAGCATCTGCTTTTGCTGAATCATTTGAGCTCCTTCTAAGATATAATCTCTCCCTCCAACAGGTTTCTAGATGTTAGAAACAGAACCACATTAACACAACATATCACCTTTAAATCCCAGGCCACGTTACCCTATAACCAGTAATAAAGAAAGCTCCTGCTGGGGAAAGAAACTACATAGACGGGTTTGCAAAACCTTGCATCCAAACAAATCCTGAGAATCCAAAGAGACACCTGCAACTTTTCAGCTTTATAGGAATTAAACATTGATTCTACTGATTTAATTGTTCATTTTACAATTGCAGCTCTGCCCGTAAGGGTTTTGCAGGGAATGACGGAACCTTCATTCCGTGAAAATACAACTGGAAGATTTAAAGGGTGAAGGAGGTATATCTTGTATGCAGCTTGTTGCTGAGAAAGTCAAAAAAAAAGCATAGAGCTCAGCAACTTCCTAAGCTGCCTCCAACTTAAGAGCCTCCAACTGGGAATGCTGCGCTGGTGCTGTCCTTACATATATTTTTTGATTAATAAGAACTTGTGCCTTTGCTGATGCGAAAGAGCTCTCCTGCCTTCCACAGGAACCATTAGAGGGTCTCTTAAGGCAGGACACAAGCCCCAGACAGCACAAAACCTACGGAATGAAAAACCTCCTTGTTGTGCGAGTGCTTCCCCTGTCACCACGCTGGTTTGGGGGGCTCTCAGCTCGGGCGGCCCCACGGACACCTGCGGAGAAGGCTTCAGTTGCAGGGAGCAAGATAAAAAGGGAGCTCAGGCCGCACGGGCACGAGCAGTGCAGCTGTCGCCCAGCCCCAGGTCTGTGGTATCACCTTGCAAATAGCTTAAATATTTCATTGCTCCAAAACACATAGAAAAGACTTGTGAAAATGAATTATTTAAATATGTGTATATATATATATATTCACACAAAAGATAAACCTAATCTATGTTATTCCTTACTTAAAGGGAGATTTACCTTTAAGTCACGTCAGCACGGCTACTTCTAAATTGTATTAAAAATAGCCCAAGATTCCTCTGCTAAGCTTCCCTATTTAGGGAAAAAAATAGAATTCCTTCCATAAGCGTTTACATTTTATCAGGAGTTTGCTGGCCAGCCTGTGCTGCAAGGCTCAGTTTCCACCCAGCTCCCATAGCCTCCAGCAGCAGCCTTTCCTGGCTGCAACAAGGGTGCCCATCACCCCGGGCCAGTTGCTTTGCCCCCCTTGCCACCCTCCCCAGACTTATTTATATTTTTTTGTTAAAAAAAACCCAAAAGTTGCCTTTAACGTTGCTGCCGTGCTGCCAAATGCCCCATGGCCAGGGGCTCAGCATCACTGCACTAGCACCAGTACGACCCTCGTGCCGGTGGAAGGAGGTACCAAGCCAAAGGTCTGAGGCCACCAAGCCAAGGAGCTGAACTTTGAGGGGCTGCTCAGCCTAGTCCACAGATAGCCCTCATTCCAAGTCATTTTTTTTCCACAAGATTGTACATGAGCTTTAACCTGTATCACCAAATTTGTTCATCAGGAAAAATCCAGATGCATCAGGAAGTTTCAGTGACATCCAACTGGACTTGGCTTCGGCATGTGTGAAATGAGTCTCTACAGCCCTGCTTGGTGCCGAGACCAACTCCCTTTCTCCCCATGTAAACTGGGTATAAGTTTTACTTATAAGCTTTGTGAGGATGATTAGTTCACATTTGAACTATGCAAGTGAAAAGCAGTGTATAATTACACCAAATATTAAAACCTGTAATTAAACGGTGTCAGTTTATAGACACTCGCATATTATTCTCCATCCCCCCAACCTCTGGCTTTGTTCGCTCCCATCATGACAGGTCTCTGAAATAGGTTGTATATTATGAACCTACAGATAGGCAAATACATTAAATAAAATCTTTATTCTCAGTCTATAGACATGGCCGTACATTTTCACTCATGCTTGATTATGGAAAATTAAAATATCCACACACTCTTAGCAATCAAAGCAGAACACTGAGTTGCGTAATTGTTTATAAAAACCTATACCTGAATATCATTTTTAAAAAGACCTTTATATTAATGGTCCTAACTTTTTACACATAAAAACGAACCCATTACCAAGTTCTAAGCTACACAGGTATTAAATAAAAGACACTTCCATCATTTACATAGCAATTCTAAGAGCAATTCCTTTAAGATAAGTAATTGCACTCAGTAAGCTGTGTCATATATGGAAAACTTCTAAAAGAAAAGTAAACAGAAGCAAAGCACAGGTCAAGAATGAACAGAATATGGCCTAAAAAAGCCTAAGCTGTGATCTACTATGGAGCAGATCTACAGTGTGATTTGGATAAAATCTCTCTGGAACGCAGAATCTTTAAGACAAACTGCTTCCCTGATCCCCACTTCTGAAGTATCCCAACACTTGTTTTCATCTTCAAATGAAACCGCATCAAATTACTTACTCATCGAAATACTATGTTTTTAACTTCATTTTATGAAAAAAATGTGAGCTTAAGTATCCAAATGAACTGTAGATCACCTCAGTTCTATTAAATGTCATCCTATATCAGTATTAAGGAGAAAACGCGGAAAAAGATTACAGGGAAAGCAGGACTTCCTGCGTGCCATGCAAAGACCAAGCGGTCCTAGCTAGAGAGCAAGGCTGCTGCTGCACCGACTCACAACAGAGTGATAATTGATTCTATAAACCCGGTGTACTCAGAATTCTCTAAACAATAATCAAATAAAAACAAAGATCATAAAATTAATGACTCAAAAATATTATCATGCCTTCGATTCCCCAAATGCTTCAAAGCTGACACGTAAGTCGCTTCATCTTGCACTTCGTTTCAGAACTCTTGGGTGGAACAGGGCACCTCCAGCCCCATGCACAGCACTGGAGAGCAGCAGCCAGTGCTGGGAAGCAGCCGCTTTTAATGCTTTTAATACAGAACGTGTAGAGGCAGGACGGGCTGCACTGCGCCCACATGCACACATTTCTCTCTGGAAAGCATCTAACCTCTCCTGCTGAAATCCTAGTCTCACAAAAGTTACCAGCATTAAGTTTCAAAGTTCATCCCTGTGTGGTGGGCAGAAAAATCTCTTTGTCAGTACAAAGCAGCATTTTCAGTGGGACCCCTATCTCATGCTGCATGTCTCAAAACAAAATATCTTGATTTATATTCAATAAAACAAGTTAATTTTAATGCTTAATGTATCTGAAATCCTGTCCTACAAGTATAATCTATTTTTTTCAGTATTATCTTGTGATTATCAATCTTTAACTTCATTTTACATTTTGCTAATTCACCTCTACTTGAATTTCTGAAATATTTCTAGTTTTGACTAGTTTTCGCTCTCATCTGCAAATTTACCCGTTGTCCCTTCCTTCCTTCCCAAACCCAGCTCAAACACACCTAACGCCAAGTGTTGCAGCACGTAACGTGGACCCTCTCGAAAGGAAAACCGCCTGCCACGTCTCCCATTCACCCCTGGCACCTTGCTTCTCAATCAATTTTGCTGCTTTAAGCAGGGCCATAAGAAAGACTACCAATCCTTTATATAATTTAAATGATTCGATGGCAATCAACTCCCTTTTTCACCGTTGAAGAATTACAAATACAGTTATCTACCGCTCAGTTTTCTTTTGCTACAATCTCCCATGAAAAGCCCCGTCCCTTCAACTAAAGGACACTAGTCTAGAACAAGTCGCGTTCACCTGTGGGTGACGCAGACGCTCAGAGCTGGGGGGTCTTCAAGGGGACAACAGCTCTCCCCCCTCGAGACCATCAGGAGCAAGGCCATTTGTAGCATCCACAGTGTCACACAAGTAAATCAGACACAACATTTCTTCCCCAAAAAGTGCTTTTACGTGCTAAAGGCATTCAAAAATGCTTGATTCCAAAATTTAAATATTCTGTGGATAAGACACTTGCAAGGCAATGAGGAGTAAGTGCAAACGTGCACGGCAAAGCCAGAGGAGGGTTTCGCTCATTCGACATGACGCTCAGCTTCTCTGAAGGAGTTTGGGAGCAGACCACGTAATTCCTGTGCTTCTAGCAGCATCCCCTTGTTTTTTCCTGGCGCGGGTCTCGGTCAGGAAACAAGAACGGATGGATATTGCACCACGTGCATCCACCACGGAACTCAAAGGGATCTGTCATCTCAAAACCTGTGTCATCAGGCTAAGTCACACTTCCCTAGCTCCCCCAGGAACCTCTTTCACAGTGAGGTGGCCAAAACCAGTCATTGAACACTGTGTAAGACAAAAGTTGGAGAAAATGAACCATTATGCAACATACCTTCTGTGAAAGGAAAGGCCTTGCAGAGTTATTCCAGCTCCCTGGCCAGTTCATAAGCAAGTCAAAAATGCTGTGGTCAAAGCTCTTGAAAGCCAAGGATCACTCAAACAACAGCAAAATATTCAAGAGACCTCATTTCTTTTGCTTATTATTGGAATTATAAAAAACTAGTACATTCACCACAAATGCAAAAAAACCCAGAAGTTATATACAACAAAGAAGAAGAATCACAAAAACCTCTCGGCAACACTGAAGACGATTTTCTCATACAACTACCAACTCAGGACTTCCCTTTGATTAAAGCTGGTTTTGGCATTTCAGGGCTAGGTCTCCTCTTTCTATCACAAGTACGGTTTTCTACATAAGCCTTTCCTCTTACTTACCTGTGCCTTCAAGCAGAGTTCAATATCATTTTTCTCCAATCAATGGTTTATTGAGGTTAAGCTGTTCAAAGGAAGAGAGGTCTCCACGACAGCTTTGTATTACAGACAGACACATGCAGTACAAGAGACAGGACAAAATGAATGGGGATCTGCTGTTTATCAATATATGCTACTGGAACCACAAGCAGATATTTTTGGTAGGTTTTTTTTTTTTTAAAAACTATCATTATTATTCAAGAAATTTGACGACAGATCAAAATAATTAATTACAGTATGAATCCCCAAAGAACACTTACTTGTTATGCAATCAGAGGAGCTTACTTTTCCCTTAAAAGAATCCAGCATTTTTAGCACAGGAAACATACTTAACAATAAAACAATAGTTTTATGTGAGTTCAAGAGGAGGAACAGAAAGCCACAGACCTCTTTGTGTACCTCAGGGTTTTTTTTTTTTTTTTTTTTTTTTTTTTTTTTTTTTTTTTTTTTTTTTTTTTTNTTTTTTTTTTTTTTGTAATAACAGCTTATTTTTATGCTTCCTAGATTTTCTAGTTCAGTTTTGGTATTTTATTCAGAAACAGCCAACAAAGACACAGAATCATCTCATTTTACTAGGAAAGCATCATGAAGCATGAGACAAAAGCTTAAATTGTGCGGAATTTTACACCAGCCCACTCAAACATACCATGAAAGTTCATAATTAACCATCAACAATTTTTGTTTCCTTACTCTTTATGCTATTCAGGTTAGGTTACACGCATTAAATATCTTTCAAATACATATATACTAATGACTAAAGGGTTTTTTTCCTTATTTTGACAATAATGAAGTATCATATGCATATAACAAAATATCATATATGTGTATAACCATCAGCCTTTCCTCTCCCACATTTGCCTTCCCTTCTCCCCCTGTCACTTTTTCACATCACTCCCAACTACCCCCTTCCCTGTGCCACTCACACACCCCGTAACTGCTCTTCCTTCCCCTTAATTCCTGATGTCCAGGCCATTGCAATTCCCACGCTCCACATCCCTTCAGCTTTCTCATTGAAGCACCTTCCTCTGTCGCTTCACGGCCTCCATCCGATTGATCTTCTCTTTCCTTCCGCTCCCAGGCGGCTCGGCAGCCACCTTCTCATTATGGTCTGCAACAAGTCAAGGCACGGCCCTCCCTCGGGCCACCCTCCGGAGCTGGTGAAAGACTCCTGAGCTCCTGAGCCTCAGCTTCTTGGCTTCCTCCTGACCCAAATTCCATCCTACAGTTGTTATTTTTATGCCCTTGATCAGCTTCCTACCCAGGCACGCTCCAACACAGTTTCCTGTCACCACGACAAGGCTTTGCAACACCACTGTCCTCTCCCTACTATCATCAAGGACCACTCCTGTAGGTCCCTGGACCACAGGAAGATGTGCTAGCTTGCTCACGAGCCCTGCTGTGGGAAAGGCTTGCTTTTTTTGTCCTATTCACACTGTATCTCATGAACATGTATATTTTTCTTATGCTAATGTTAGGCAGATTACCTGCATTTCTATTGCAAACTCCGTGGAATAGTGGTCATCTCTCTCACAAGTCTAACACGTAACAACCCTTGCTGTAAATGAGCAAACAAACCAAAGGTTGCATTTAGATTCCTCATTCTTTCCCTCTACTTACAGCACTGGTGACATTAGGGGACATTTTTATCAGCTGACATTTCAGAACACAGGACTCAAAGAAACTGGTTGGACCAACTCAAACCCTCCATTACCCACTTTTAGTGCAACATGAACGCCACCTCAGAAGCCTCAAATCAGTCAGCACCTTTAACAGACACAAGATGTTCAGCACAAGAAACTGAAAGCCATCAAACCTACATGCTGCAGAAAAAGAGCAGAAAGATCAAGACCTTGGCTGATACTATAAGACTGCTGCAGAAGTAACAGGAAAACAATATTGAAATTCAGGATTTACATTTCTCCTGACTTCATATAGAAAAGAAACCCCAAAGGATAATAAATGCATATTTAATGAATTAAAAAAAGTAACACCCACTTGCTTTTATACTTTGCCATCAAGCAAAATTACACAATCAAATTGTCAAAAGATTAGCTTAAAATGAACAAGACAACAAAAAGATGCACTTGGTAAGTTGACTGCAAGATAGTTTCTTTGAGCTACGTGGCTACACAATGACGAACACTCGGCTTTCATGTCAGGAAAACACAACTGCAACGCAGATCAGACGACATACTAACAGAAACGCAGGCATTGATCTCACTGCTTATTAGTTTTTTTCTCTTTTCCAGCCCATCTTAAAGAAACTTTCAACAACTGATTCCTCGTTCGAAAATACCACACAATTGCAGAGCAGTTCGGGCTGGAAGGGCCCTCCGGAGGTCACACACTTGGCGAACGCCACAGAACATCAAAACCAAAGAATAAGGAAAAGCGAAGAGCAGGTATCAAACTTACCATGGACTTGATTGATTTCTGAATTCTGAGAAAGAATTTCATCTGCTAATTTTTGAGCAGTTGGCAAAACTTCTGTGTGGTGCACTGTGATCAAATACTGTACAAATTTTTGTAGTTGGTCTCTGTTCATTTGAAAGAGTGTCTCTGAAATGGGAAGATGCAGTTTGACCTGATCTGGCTTGCGGATCCGGTATAAAGACAGTGCCACAACGTGGGCACAGTAAAATATGTCCTTGTTTCCACAGCTGCAGGTCACTGAGGTAATCTTGCAACGATCAAAGCTGATAGCTACATTGCAAACAGTTTCTGGCTCCGATTGCATTGCAGGCTCTGTCACTGTGCCACTCAAGTGGAAACCTGTGCAGAAAAAAAAATAAACCAAAAATGCTTTCATTATTGGGTAAAATACTATAATCTCACTATCAATTACCTCTCTTTAAGAGAGTGAAGCTCATGTCTTTATGATAATATTTTAAGGCATTTGCTTTAATTACACTCACCTACAAGGCACCCTTTCTTTCCCAAGTACCCCTTTCATCTCCAATAATTACTGTTAGAGGTAAAAAGCAGGTTTATGAGCCCTTTTTGCCATTCCCTAACACACGTAAGAGCCTGGCAGTTAGTATTTGGCAAAAGCAGCCTGCAGAAGCAGAGTTTCTCTCCATAAAGCCAAAGTGAAACTCCCAGTAGCTGGGCAGGTTTGCAGCACTTTCCAACCCCCCCACCACAAGGAGCACACCTAGGAACAAATTTAAACATTCCTGCAAGAGGGAAGTAGTGCACTCTAGTGGCACGAACCCAGGCCCTGATTGATATCCACTCTGCCACTGATTCACTTGCACAAGTCACTGAACCTCTTGGCTTTCACCTCCCCACCAGTGCGCGCACCCTCACACAAGCAGGGCACTGAGAGCTCTGTTTGTGAAGCTCTCTGGAAATGGAAACTGCTGCGACTGCTGCCTTACAGGAAACCAGATTTACAGCCCCAAATCAGGCACACGTGCCTGAGAAGTCTGCACTATGAGCTTCCTTCCCAGTCAGCATGGTAAAGGACCTGGCAGAAGAGCAAGGCTTTCTTATATTGTAAAAAGTTAGATAGCAAAAAAGCTATGCAACCTCAGCCATGTCTTCAAGACCCAAAGGGGAGCCTCAAATTGGGGTCTCAAGCACTGGGCTCCAAAGTTCAGACCTAAATCTACCTGTTTTCCCAACATAAAGACCCAACTTGTGCTCTCAACACTTTATCTCAGAACAGCAATATTTGGGTTCTTTCAGATTTTACGCAAGCATGACACTGAATTTGACTCAGCCACTGAGTCAGACACATAAATACAGAGCAGCAACCAAAGTTCATATGCTGTATCAGTAAACAGTACATACAAACCAGAAATAACCTGGAACAGACTAACAAGAAAGACGTTAACTATTTATACTGGAAATAACATAAAACCACACTCCCTTAAAGTCACAAACTGATTCAGTGTTCTTAAAACACAAGAAAAATGTTTTAAGAACAGGCGTTACATGAGAACTAGATGGACAAAAGGAAACATACACACACACACACATATATATCTGTATCTATGCTATACCCCCAACTGTTTCAAAAAAAGCCTGCTCAGTTACAGGAAGCCAGGAGGAAAGCGCCTCATTTTTTCCGTGTGTTGACACGGTGCATTTCAGAGCAGGCTCTGCAGTCAGCAGCGCTGTTTGGACCACGCTCAACTGCAGTATCTGATATGCTCTCCTGGAGAAGGTCAGAGGCGCACGCAAAGCCCCGGCAGGAGGATGTTTACCACTTGGTTTGGGTTCAAACTCAAGAGCATCCAGCCCAGAGCATTTGGTGGTTGCTCTGGGATTCACTCAGCGCTCAAGCACTGAAGGGGAGCGGGATGCCCTTCAAGTGATCAACTTGATGGCCCCTCTCTTTGTTTAGCTGCGGTGACATGTCCCTAGGAGGGCTCTCTCCAAAGCCACCAAGCCCAAACCAGGGGCTTTGTTAGAACTGAGCCAGCTCTGTTCATTTCGGGCCGCTTCCCAGTAAACGAGAGCTGGATTGGTGGTCTCCCAGAAGCCCGCCTGGGAGCGGCCGCGGGGCGGCCTCTGCCCGCGCGCTGAGGGACAGCCCGCGCTGCCATGGCCACGCTGACACCGCCTCAGTAACGGGATAAAGCCCCATTAATCACAGAATCACAGAATATTCAAGGTTGGAAGGGACCTCTAGAGACCATCTAGTCCAACCTTCCTGCTCAGGCAGGCACACCTAGAGCATGTGGCACAGGGCTGCATCCAGGAGGGTTTTGAAGACCTCCAGAGAAGGAGACTCCACAACCTCCCTGGGCAGCCTGTGCCACTGCTCTGTCACCCTCTGTAATTCCCATACAAAAAGGCACAACTGAAGATTTTCCATAAAATGGATTGAGGAGGGAAAAAAAAAAAAAAAGAAAGAAAATTGTGGCCAACCAGCTACTCCAATCCCATTATCATTTTTAATCTGTCAGCTCAGAAGTCAAGCTCCCTGCTCCCGCTGCTCTGCGTGCGGATTTTGGGCAGTTCACGTTACAGCAGCAGCATCTACAAAGCCAGGCCCTGCTCTGAACAACAACGCGTTACCTAAGCCGCCCTTCTTAGGTGACAGGGGATTTAAACAAAAAGATCAGCTGCCCCTGCAGCCTAAAAAGCAGCAGCTCTTCATTAGCCACGCTGCAGTGATACACTATGCCCCGTAATTACTACACATTATTTTCCTGGCCTTTTTTTCTGGCTCTGTTTAATGAAATAGCCCGTTGTTCACAACTGTGACCCTTAAGAGGGTCCTGGCAAGGCTGTTAGAACATGATCTAGTAGGCAGCAAACACCACCTCTTGCACTACCCTACAGACACACAGAAAACTGCGCACGGAAGACAGTTCCCCTTGTGTAGACATGTCCTTTTTTTTTTTTTTTTATTTTCTGACCATCCAATATTCTCTAAGCTAAAAGTAGTAGAATTTTGTAGCAAAAAAAAAAAAAAAAAAAAAAAAGAGAGCGACCCCCAAACCCAGACTCATTGCACTTCACTAAAAAGCAGCAGTGAATTCACCACAGTGCAACAACAGGAGAGACATAACACACTGGGACGCGAGGACAGCGACATTTCATCAGCAGACCCAAAGGAACCCGAAGTCTCATTTGCCGAAAGCCCTAAACCTTCCCTCCTCATAGGCACTTCCCTTCAAGGAGAAAATTCATCTGCTCCCCCGAGTTATAAACATTTACCAAAAGCATTTATCCCAAGAAAATCCCCCAGACCTCTAGCGTTTCACCTTTAAAATAAATAGCTCATTCATTTTTATCTAAAGACAACAAAAGGGTTGCAAGCAGCAAAGTGGGTGTTCACTCCTGAAGCTATTTATGGAGCGAGCCTGTTTCACCTTTTCCCTTCAGCTGCTGCATTTCTAAACATTTTAATATTTTCAAAACAGCATGTGACCAGTAACTCAAGCTCCACTGACATTTTCAAGGTGCAGAGGGTTTGCATTCCGGAAAAATGTATTTGGAAAAGCAGTCAGAGCAGTGAGACACCGTATCAAATGAAGCTCCCTCTTTGCTTGTGCTGCTGAACGCTCGCCCGAGACAAAAGCACTGCAAAAACTACTTAACAGCTGAAAAATAGTGGGGTGTTCGGCTGCTGTGCTTCCTAAAGCGGACCGTGCCAAAGTGCCCTCAGGAGGAAAATGTGAGGAAGTCACTGAATTTTACAAAGTAATTTTTGTCACAACCTGTCTGACAGCATCCTACGCGTTACCTTAAAGCGTTCTGGGACTGTAAAACAGTTTAATAAATGTACATTCGCATTACTACAGTGCACGCCTTCCTAAAACAGCCACATATATTCTTCAGATGTATTTTGCAGTTTTATCACAGAAAATAAAGACTTCAGAACAAAACAGATATAAAAGATACTTTAAATTACAAGAATTAAGGAAGGAGATGATGGATGGTGACATGTGGAGAAGCATCAACAAGCTGGTTTTCAGCTAATCCAGTCAAGCAAACTCAAGTCAAAAAAAGTTCCAACAACCAAAGTCCAAAGATGTATTTTACCAACACACAAGAATCAGAACAGCAGGGTATGCAAAATGCTAAAGAGAGATACTTTGAAGTTTATGCTGAGATTTCACTTTGCTAAACTTTTTAGCCCCTATTTAAAAACACCAGTAACATGACATCAAAGTACACTAACATTAAAAACACAGCAGCCTTTTCTTATGAAGACATGAGAGTACTTCTTTAGTGTAATTCATACAAAAAAAAATCCAAACACAGACTGCAAATATTAAAAACACAAACAACAACAGAACTCTGTTGAGATTTCTGGTGATAAAACAACACAACAAAACAAGCTCTAGGCTTTGCATCTTCAGTTTAAAGCTGTGATTGAAAATCAACCATGTCACCACTGGCTTCAGTTTATTATTTATGAAAAATACAAAATGTCCAAACTGGCTTACAGAAATACTCTAAAGTTTAAATAGTGACTTTGGAAAGCTTGCTGTCGTCACATGCCCTGTGAGAACACAAAGTGCCTCAGCCACTAGACAGAGATGAGCTTAAAATTAGGAAATCTGCTACCAACTGAAGCTGGAAATCAGATTTCCTTGATTACTCACCCACTAACCCTTAATTTTTTTCAAGCAGTTCATGAGATCCATCTTTATACTCCTATGCAGACAAACCAGGCTGTTTATATTCACAGAGTGTGGAATAGATCAATAGATGAGGTTTACTTACAGAACACCTTTCCTTCCTAATACCAAAGTGAAATGCAAAAAACCTGAGGCAGTCGGTGTGGGCGCTGGAGAGTGTCCCGGGAAGGACGACCTCCTTCTATGTGTGTTAACAGCAGCATCATACCCTCTACCTCAGCAGTCATTCAAATTCACTCACAGGCCTGCCAGCTAAAATTTATTCAGACTACAATATTACTTGGCAAACGTATAATCACTCTTTATATTAAAAAAAGACAACAACAACAAAAACCCCACTTTGCTTCATCTTGCCTACCAAACAACAACAAGAAACCCTTATGGAAAGTAGTTCCCAACCGTGCCCATTAGCTATTTTTTCATAACTGAGATCGGTGGTTGCATTTTTTTTTCCCAAGACAAGCAAAAGTCTAACCCATGTTTACCTCATTTAAATTCCTGCTTTTTAAGAAGTGGTTTTCCTTTCAGACGGCAAAGCAGCATCCTAAATTCAATGCTGTCTGAACTCTGGAACGCTCCAAGAACAGATCAACAATACACTTTGATATTATTTTTAAGTCAAAACTTTGCATGCCACCGCTCAGCCTGCAGCTAATGCTAAGAGCCTAT